GACGGGAGAGCTGAGCCAGCCTCGGCTGGTTCTTTCAAGTTGTGTGTCTACCGGTCAGGCGGGGAAGGAACATCCGCAGTAATAAGCTATCTGCTACTCCGTCTAGCGCGTGGAGCCAGGAAAGTTGATTTTATGTTCCGTCGGTCTGGTCGGTTTTTTTCGACCGCCGTAAACTGTCGAGGAATACCGATGACGTTAATCACTTCCACGAAATAGGAGACACCACTTGCTTAGTCAGGTGACGTGGTGGCTCCTTTGCGCCCGTCTTTTCAGTCGGACCTCTATTTCTCTCGCCCCGACGCAACCGCACGGTTACCGAAGGAAGGGACCCCGTCCATTGCCCTTCTGCGCGGAGACCGCCGCCAGGAGCAAGTCCTAGCCTTTTTTATTGTTAAAGTTTATAAAACGATCGGGTGGAATAGGTGCCACGGCGCACGGTTTACGACCGTCGCGCACGGTTCCCCAACGGCTCCGCTGGGGGGGGGGCGGCCAAATACTGTTAGTTTACCAGTAGATAACCGGTATACCGAGAATCTATCACAGTCGTCGCAAAAATTCCCCGGGGGCGGGATAATACCGGAAAAACTTTACAAGAGGGAGGACATCACACAAAATATCCGAAAAACATTTACCAGACCGTTTCCAACTTTAGGGGACACTACGGGGAGGGTCACCTTCGAAAGAGAGGGATGTGAGGGGGGCGGGGGGGGGGGGAAAGAAAATTTGCGGGGGGTAACCTTGAGCTAAACGAACGTAGCGCGGGCTGTATCACTTAGTGATGCATTGTGACGCGACGAAGATAACTGATCGCGAGGTTGTATGACATACGACTATCTGATTCCGCCACCCTTTGAATAGTCGTTCGTCTCGGCCGGGTCCCGATTGGTTTAGTCTCAACTCAGTTCATCCTAAAGTAGGTACTACTGCGTTAGTTATAACCTCGTGGGGTAAATCAGACATCCAATTTATGTTATATGTAAACAAAGTATAGTGAATCGGCGATTGTATGAATATTTATGACTACATTCCATATTACGATTAACGAAGATTTAAACGACGAATTGCCCGTTACTATCGTCATTATTACCCGTATTGAGCTTGTCGTATTTGATGTGAGAATTTTTTACCACCCAAAATTTTTGTTGGGTTAGACCCATCCGAACGAGTTGGGTCGCGGACAATTGATAACCTCGGTTTTGTGTACGGCGACCCAATTAATTTGGGCGTTGTTTGTAACCCGCAACCAGGTAATTATTGGGCGTTAGAACAAGCCCAATTAAAATGAGATGTTGTTTACCCAATATACTGCGTTGGGGTTAAACAACCCAAGTGTAACCTGATCGTGACGACCAATCAAACAATTACATATTACATACTTAATGAATTTAACTTAATAATGATAGGATATTACCGCAAACACAGGGGTGAAAATATTAACTCGTAAAGTAACCGGTGTTTGACTATCACGTTTTAATTAGTTCGAATAGTCGTAACACACTATCGTACGAACAAACCGTAAAGCTTGGAGCGAATTGACTTGGGTGTGGGATCGTATGTCGGACAACTGACATGATTTATATTTTTTCTACTAGTAACAATGCGGGTTCATTTAGGACAACTTTGTTCTTTATTTCTTTGTACTATAGAGGGTTTGTTTTGTAAAAAATTTTAAGGGTTTTAATAAATGATAGTTTGTCTGTTGGTAGGGGTTAATATGTTCTTTGAGTGGGGGTTTCATTTTGTTCTAGTAAAGTCCTGGTTTAATCGTAAACTAAAATGTTTTGTTTGAGACTTTTATTTAGTGGTAAAAAGTAAATCAATGTTCATTATTACAAAAAAAAGGGGGTAACTGACTAAAGGTCGTGGTTGTGCGCTAGTGTCTTACTGTTTATACTGAAATTTGGGTAACATGAAAGGGGACCGTACAATTATATGTCGAGGAGGGCAGAATCAACAAGCTTCAGGTTCAATAACCAACTTTAACTTAAATGACTGGAGAGAGGCGAGCTCTTCTTGGGAGGCCGTTGCATTTATTTAGCTGTTCTTCTGTTTCACAAAATACATCACAGACCTCTGTTTTTCCGCTTCCTCGTTTCACTTCCATAAGCCTAACATCCTAACATGTGTGCTCTGGAGAATCACAGAACGGACGATCGTCCTTATTATTATGCCGTTTAAACCAATTATTTAAAGGTGTTTGTTAAATTCGGCATCATGTAAGTTGCGCTGACAGGTCCACACACTGCTTCCCCGCCCTCCTGCTGATAGTTCACGAGCGTCCAACACCTCAACCCCCCCCCTCCCGTTGATAATTCTCGATCGTTGACACCTATGGTTGGCACGCTGATAACAATTTTTTTTTTAAATGGCACTTCATATCAAAAAGGTTGCCGACCCCTGTCATAAACCATCAATCTCTATTGAACAATGGCCCTTGTAAAAATGGAGATAACTGCCGCTGATGCGTATAACCGGTCAATATCACCCATCTTTTAAATCTGATCAGACAGAAACCACTAATAGTGACTCATCTCCCAGATATGACAGCACACATATCACTTCCCATCATGATGACACAGTAGAACATTAAAGCATTTACCCTACGTTCTGTTTAACAGGATGAGCTGCTGTTGTTTGATCTTAACACCTAAGTACCAGCTGGCATCACGCATGGATAGCACCTTTCCTTTCGGGACAAATGCTCGGCTTGTTGATTCGGCCGATGTGACGGGGCCCGTGTCTAATGGGTTGAGAGTAACAGGTTGACCTGCAAGAGTGGTTAAACTATCCCACCTGAGCAGACAAATCATCCTCCCTCTATTACAGTATATAAGAACACAATGTAAGAGAGGAGGGTTAGAGTCAGACAAGCAGAGGAGCTAACGGCACCGTTCTTGTGAAGGAAAGAAGAAGAAAAGGTGAGTTGTGTTGATTGCAATTAGGAAACCACATTAACTTTTTGATCCAATGTGCAAACTTTTTTCTTGTATGTGTGCGTGTGCTGCGCTGTAGGTTAGAACCATGAGAAGCTTCCTAGCTGGTATCCTTCTGGTTGTGGGTTTTGTTCAGAGCAGCTGGCAGGTTCCTCTGCAGGAGGCGGGTGACAGCTCAAGGTACAGAAAATACTGTTTTGTCTTTTATCTAAGGACCATTTGTTTTGTACATTTAGGAATGCAGAAAGAGAACTTTATCCTTCACGAAAAATACGTTTTAAAATGTGGTACATGTGGGTCATTTTAAGTTCAATTCCAAAGAGCAACTTTCAGCACTATTTAGGTGACATGAGGCGATGCTAAAACTGAGAAATGTCTCAAAAATATCCCATCAAATTGGATAAAAGGCTTGAAGTCATTTGGCGAAGTAAAACAGGGGAGGATTTGCTCTACATTCTCTTTCTGTTTGGGAATTATAAAGCTGAAAATGTGGATTACCCTATTTATAAATACAGAAAATGTTAGAAGTCTATTAAGATATAAGAAATAATAGCGAAAATGGGAGATTTAATTGAAAGTGTTAAATGTACACTTTACATCTGGGCATATATTTGAAGATTAATGATAAATATACTACATCTGATTTGTTTGTATTATTTGAAGTTTTTCGGAAAATTCAACCTAACCAATGGATTTAGGTAATGTGAAGGGTTCATCTGTGTAAGCTCACAGTGGTTTCCTCTTGTAGCTTTAAGGCAGACAACACATCAGTGGATGAGCCGTGGGAGCTGTCCAACATGAAGAGACATTCGGAGGGAACCTTCTCAAACGACTACAGCAAATACCTGGAGGACCGGAAGGCTCAGGACTTTGTCCGGTGGCTGATGAACAACAAGAGGAGCGGGTCAGTATGGGATCTTAAGAATATCAATTGTGAAGTGCTTTGACTTTTCTAGCCCTATAATATTTAACATATAATCAATGGTTATATTCAATGTGCAAGATGCTACAATCACTGTTAAAGGGGCAGTGGTGGAGTTTTTACAACAACATAAAAACACTGAACTCCAAGTAAAAATCCTGCATTCAAAAACGTACAGAAGTATTATCTTTAAAGGGTTAAAAGATGTATCTGAAGGTTGTTTTTGGGGCATTATTTTCTTTCTCTTTGCTTTTTTAACAAATGGTATAGAAGTAAAAAGAAAAGCCCATAGAAAAAAAGGTAAGGGCAAAGCAACTATGTCTGTCAGATAAATGTAGTGGGGTAAAAAGTAGAATATATCGCTCTGAAGGATAGAAGAGTATACATAAAAGTAGCATAGAATATTAAGCGTACTTGATTACATTTCCTTGGTTTCATTTCTACCACTGGTTAACAGGGATGTGTTACTGAATATAGTGTATATTTCGGAATTATGAACTCTAAAACAATCTGAACATTTTCCCTCACTGTGTTTTCAGTGCTGAAGAAAAGCGCCACGCTGATGGGACCTTCACCAGCGACGTGAGCTCGTACCTCAAGGACCAGCTAATCAAAGACTTTGTTGCCAGGCTCAAGGCTGGACAAGTCAGAAGAGCGTAGGCTGCCCGCCCCCCCCCCCCACGAGGTCGTGGAACAAGTGCAGTGACCACTTCGAAGGTAGTTGTAACGGAGGACGACTGCCGAGGGGGGCCGGACAGGCAAAGTCTAGACTCGATACATGTGCCCTTACATTTGTGACGGATAATTCGCGAGCAATCCCCGGTGTTACCACGGTTCGAACGGTAAAATTGAGACCTATAAATCCGGACGTCACGTCATAGTAGGTCTTGTACAAAGTAACATCGAATAAAAGACTAACCGGCACTGAATGGGCCCACAAAGAAACTAAGTAAGGTACTAAACAAGTATCCCGGCGCAAAAAAAAAGTTTTTATTAGTAAGTGAAGTTAGAAAGGTGCTTATCATTCTATAGTTAGTTGCGTCACGGTTTTTAAGTCCGACTAAAATTAAAGTTGTGTTGGTGTTCCTGTAGTTCTTTTTCGTTTCGTTTGCCCCCTTTTTCTACCCTCTCGTTCACTAATATAGAGAGACTGACAAGGGAGAGAGCAGTCACCACCGTTAGTCTGTGTCCGTACCCCCCAGCTATCCCCAAACCCAATGACCTTCTCCTCGCTCTCCCCTCCCTC